GGGTCTCAGGACTCACTAGCGGGCAGAAAACTCCCTTAAAGGAACATGGGAACTGCCCCCCATCCGTGAGTTGCCAGCCAGTGACTGAGTTCACTGTGTTCATCACACCATTTAACCTCCTCATGTCCCATGAAGAGAGCCTGTCATTACATTATTGTGGTTGCTGTTGAAAACCTATTACACAGAGGTAAAGTCACCTACTGAGGGTCACTTAGGGGGCAGAGGGAGGCTTGAACCTCTGTTTGACTCCAAAGCCCACCTCTTAGCTCTGAGAGACGCTTCTGCCTTATCTCACGAGGTAGAAGTGGACTTCTGGGTTCAGCCTGGGCTGTTGTCACTGTCACACTGTCACATGGAATGAGCTAAAGACCCAGGGACTCCTCGAATCAGGAGGCCGGTGGCCACGAGGTTCTTGTGTGAATGCTCAGCACTGAGGTTTCCCCGTATCTCAACTGCATGGAAGTATGACTTTTGGTTCTGAAAAGTTCTGCCCAGTGAAGAGATGTTCAAGCATCAAAACTACACTGGTTTGTGTGTGTATCTGTGGTGGGGAGGGAGGGTGGTTCTCAAGCTGAAAGTGAGTAATTTTATTTCTCAGGGCCTCATCCATGTCATCTTTTTTGAGATTTTATACAGGAAGCCTTGAAAAAAAATCAAGGCTCCTTGTGAAAATATTAGGTATAAAACTTAAGGGGCCGGGCTCGGTGGCTCAGCCTGTAATCCCAGCACTTTGGGAGGCCAAGGCGAGTGGATTGCCTGAGCCCGCGGGTTTGAGACTCACCCGGGCAACTTGGCAAGACCTCATCTCTACAATAAATCAAAAAATTAGCTGGGCGTGGTAGCGTGCACCTGTAATTCTGGCTACTCGGAAGGCTGAGGCGGCAGGATCGCCGGAGCCCAGCAGGTCGAGGCTGCGGTGGCTGGGAGCGGCCACTGCACTCCAGTCTGGGTGACAGAGTGAGACTCCAACTCAAAAAAAAAAAACAAAAAACAAAAAAAAAACTTAAGGGAAAATATGGGATTTTATGTTCCTTTAACTTCCATATACGTCTAGGAAGCAGCTGTTGCCCAAAGAGACGTATACAGGTTTCCTTTCGAATCCAGCAAAACTTAAATATTTTGCTCCCCTGGCATGGCGTTCCTGACAATAGGTTAATCACAGACCTTAAGTGGGAACCGAGCCCTGGGAAGAACCCGAGAGTGACGGTGATGGAGCATGAGGGGCGTGCACCTGGGAGGGATGGGGGGGCAAGGGGGTGGGTCCGGAGATCACTTCTGCTCGTGATCTGCAGAGGGCGGCATCACAGAGCAGCCCAGTGATGCCGCCCTCTGCCCCCTGGGCTTCTGTCTCTGTGGGTGACACCTGCCAGCTCTCCCTGCTGGTGTGAGGTGAGGGCGGGCCGTGTGGCATGGGAACGATACCAGCAACGCTGCCGTGACTCTGGTTGTCGTTCCTACCAGATCTTTCCCATTTTTGCGAATTCCATGGATCTGAATGTTCCCAGCTCTAGCTGGGGACCCGGATACAGGCGGAACTGGGCCATTTCAGACCCTTCTCCACGGGAAGGCCGTCTGGGCTGGCCTGGCTGTCTGTACTGTGTATGAATGAGCACCCATGAATAATGCATGCAAAGCCGATTATGCAAATCCTCAGGTTCGCCTCCATTTTGGCCAGCCCATGACAAAGGGTTTTTTTGGGGCCCTTTGCCAGCCTTTGTGTGGTTTGGTATCTTGGCTTCAGCTCCTGGCTTGCCAAGTCCTGGGAGACGCTTCGGGAAGGAGCGAGCTCTCCAGAGGGCACATCAAAGGAGATCCCAACCTCTGTCGGCGCTCAGCTCTCCCTGGTGTAGCGCCATGTGAAAGGAAACTGTCTCCTGCCCGAGGCAGCCCCGTGACACATGCAGACTGAGGCCTGTGATGTTTAATTCAGAGCAGTGGATGCTGGAAGAGCCATGTCTGGGGCTCCCTCCAGGGCAGCTGCCTTCACTTCTGAGCCTGCAAGCCAGGGAGGCTGTCCTCAGGAAGGTTTGCAGAACGGAGGTCAGACTGCTGCGAGGACTCGCCTAACCAGCCTCCTGACTGGGGAGGGGACACCCTCCCACGAGGACTTGGCCCCTCTGAGCTCAGGCGGGCAACACACACACACATACACACATGGTCAGATGTGCGCAGACACTCATGCACACATTGCACACTCACACGCATGTACCCTCCCCAGCTCCAAGAAGAGCTAACAATTACAAAGAGGATGGAGACTCAACCAGTTCAGCAGAGGACACAAGAACGGGGGCCAGAGACATTGGGGTCAGGTCCCAGCTCTCCTTACCAGCTACTGTGTGGACTTGGGCAAGTCCCTTAGCTCTCTGAGGCTCAGTTTCCTCATCTGTCAAGTAAGGCCCATCATCCCAGGCAGGGCAGTTAGAGGCATTGAATAAGGCTGATCATGGTTGCAGCGCATGGATGGGTGACATTAGCCTCTGGACATTGTGTTGGAAGTGGCATTGGCTTGGGAAACCAGGATTCCAGACTCAGGCTGGTGACCCAGAGAAAATGGGTTGGCTCCCCGCAACCCTGGCATCTCATCTGTAACAGGGTTACAGGAGTCAATCTTGGGTTCAGATCCCCGTGGTGCCTGGCCTGTAGACGGTCCTGACTGTCAGTGGCTGTGGCTTTTTCCTTGCTTGCCTGATCCCAGCCTTGAGGTCTGCTTCACCGTAGGCAAGAGTAAGGAAAAGAGGGAGTCTGAGCCTGTTTAAAAGTCACTGTTCCAGCACCTTGTGGACTGCAGGAACGGGGACAGAGGTGTAAGCTGCAAATAAGACAGGAAAGCCCCTCTGCCAGCCACTCGGCAGGTGCAGGGCTGTCAGGGAGCTTCTGAAACCATCTAGGTGCTGGTCACGCGTGCCTCACTGTGGGAAACTCAGGGGTCGGAGGCAGGACTCACCGAAAGACCACGTGCACAGGGCATGGGCAGCACAGAAAAGGCAGCGGCCACCTGCCAGTGCTAGGCCCTGCGTGGGTGCTTTGGAGACAGGGCAAATCCCCTCGACACCTGAAACCACTCAGCTCCTGAGTTCAGAGAGTGAGAACATGGATAGCCAGGGGTACCTGCAGTGTGCTGAGTCCTCACCTGACTCCTCAGGGCAGGGGCTGTGAGTTCCCATGTACTGACGAGGAAAGCAAGGCTCAGAGAGGACAAGAGACTCGCACAGGGTCACACAGCTAAGAAGTGGGGGGACTTGAATCCAGTACCATGGTACAGTTGAGGCACCAGGGGGTAGAAGGAAGGTAAACCCCATTTGCTGGATCACCAGCATGAGCCTAGAAGCTAGGCTTCCCAAGCCAATGCCATTTCCAGCTCCGTGCCAGGAAACAAGTCTTATCCTCACACCGTTCCTCTATGGCTCCATCAACCTGAAATGTCCACCCGCCCATCCCTTTGGTGGACACACTCCAGTTCTCTGCAACTCACTGCAGGTGTCATGGTGTTAGCAGGCCCATCCTGAGTGCTGTCACTGACTGAGTGCTCTCCCTGGACAACACAGCCCCAAGCAGCCTTCTGACACAGCCCTTACCCCCTTAATCTGCCTGGACTCAACTCTTTTTTTTTTTGAGTTGGAGTCTCACTCTGTCGCCCAGGCTGGAGTGCAGTGGCCGCTCCTGGCCACCGCAGCCTCGACCTGCTGGGCTCCTGCGATCCTTCCGCCTCAGCCTTCCGAGTAGCCAGAATTACAGGCATGCGCTACCACGCCCGGCTGATTTTTTGATTTATTGTAGAGAAGAGGTCTCGCCTGCCCAGGCGGGTCTCGAACCCGCGGGCTCAGGCAATCCACTCACCTCAGCCTCCCAAAGGCATGGGATTACAGGCTGAGCCACTGAGCCCGGCTGGACTCAACTCTTACCTGTCTGTTCCACACTAAAGGATATTGATATATTCTCTTTTTTTGAGCCTCACTCTGTCACCCAGACTGGTGTGCAGTGGCACACTCATGGCCACCCCCAGCAACCCCAGCGTCAATCTGCTGGGCTCTGGTGATGCTTCCGCTTTAGTCTTCCAAGTAGCTGGAACTACAGGCACACACTACCAGGCCCAGTTAATTTTTTGGTCTCGCCAAGTTACCCTGGCTGGTCTCAAACCCGTGGGCTCAGGCAATCCACTCGCCTCTGCCTCCCAAAGTGCTGGGATTACAGGTTGAGTCACTGAGTCCAGCCAAGGATATGTTCTTAAGGACATCCATCCACCCATCCACCTGTCCACTCCTTGACCCAGCCTCCATCTATCTGTTCATTCATTCATTCATCTGTCCATCCATCAACTTGTCGGTCTGACTGTCCACCCATCCATTCACCAAATATTTACTGGGTGTCAACTGTGTCCCGGCACTCAGAGCAGTGAACCCAAATCTCCATTTTCAGAGAGCTTATTTGTCTATGTGCCCCTGCTCCTGGCAGAATGACAAAAATATGAATAACAGCCACCATTATAAAATACAGATGAGCCGGGCTCGGTGACTCAGCCTGTAATCCCAGCACTTTGGGAGGCCGAGGTGAGTAGATTGCCTGAGCCTGCGGGTTTGAGACCCACCTGGGCAACTTGACGAGACCTCATCTCTACAACAAATCAAAAAATTAGCCGGGTGTGGTAGCGCGCGCCTATAGTTCCAGCTACTTGGAAGGCCGAGACGGAAGGATCGCCGGAGCCCAGCAGGTTGAGGCTGCAGTGGCTGGAAGCGGCCACTGCACTCCAGTCTGGGCGACAGAGCGAGACTCCAACTCAAAAAATAAATAAATAAAATAAAATAAAATACAGATGAGCACCACGAGTCTCAGAGTAGGTAGGACACACAGTAGGTGCACGAGCCCTGGGCTCAACCTTGGTCTGTCGGGTGCTAAAGTTATTGGTCCACTTCCTTTGCATCAGTGGATGCGGTCTGCACCGCCATGTCTCAAGGGAGCCAAGGAGTAGACTGGGAGCTTCCACCCAAGTGGTGCCGCCTCACCTTCTGCTGCCTGATGGCCCTGTTAATTCGCTTCTCCTGGCACAGCTGCTGCTCCGTGCGCTCCAGGGCCTCCTTCAGCAGGGCCTTTTCTTCGGCCTCCTTGTAGATGTCGTCCTCCAGCTTTGCCACCTGTGACTGGTACATCTGAACAGACACTTTGCTCTGCCTGGGGGCACAGGAGAGGCGGAATCTCTTTCCCCCCATCCTTCTCATCCATCACCAATGTCCCATACCCAGAAGGGTCACAGAAGGGCCTCTCTCGGGAGTGTCATTATAAGCAGGAGAGCATGACAAAGATTTGGGAAGCAGAGGGGCGGAACAAGCAGCTCAGCAACTGAACTTGGACAGTGGGGGACTCAGGACATACTACTGTCCCCTCCCAACTTCCCGGGCAGGGAAACTGTGACTGTTGGAACTGTGAAGGAACTGTCAAAGCTATGCAAGTGGCAAACCATAAGCCCAGAGTCAGAAGAGAGTGTGGCGCACAGAACAGAGAGAACCCAGCACTTCCGTGGCCATGTCCTCACGGACAGGGCCTAGTTGGGGTCCCTCTGTCTCCTGCTCTGATATTTTAGTCATTCCACACTCAGGTCTCTGCCTTCCATCCCAGGCCCGGGTGTCTTCACTGTTTAGCCAGGAGAATGGGAGGCCTGGGCCTTCCCTGGGGGACCCGGGCGCTCTGTGGTACCTGAGCTGATCAATGTCTTTCTCGTATCCTCGAAGAAGCTCCTCTTTCCTCTCCAGCCGGTTCTTGAGCTGGGTGATCTTATCAAACACCAGGTCGAGGTCCCTTTGCCGAAGCTGGTTGACTTTCTCCCTTTCCTTGGGCGACAGGCATTTCATGGACACGTGGCCTGACATGTCCTTGATGTTCATCAGGCTTCCGAGTGTTTTGCTCATGTCCATGTACTGCAGGGAAAGCGTTTGCGGGTCAGTGGCAGCCCCAGAGCCGCCGGAGGCCACCGAGGAGGCAGCAAGCATCTCATTTGGTTTCATTCATTTTTCTGCAATTGCAGAGAACAAACCAACGATCTAGGAAGGAGGCAACTGGGGCTTTCGTACGACTTGCATTTTCCCTGCTTCCATTTACCCGATGCCTTTTTTGAGAACTGAGGGGGAAAATGACAACAGACATAAACATTCATTCTAACGACCCAGTGTTTCAAGGAACGCGGCTGTGCAACTGCTGGCCCATGCTGGGACAGTGGATGGGTCCTGTAGTGTTCTTAGAACAACTAAATAGGCATGTGAGGTGAATATTTAAATACCCCGTGGTTAATATTGGCTGCAGGGGACCCAGGCTTTGGACAGGAGGTGCACAGGTGCAGTGTGTACATACCAGCTTTTCACTGAGATCCAAAGCCTCAGCCATGTCCGTTTTCCCCGACTTCTCAATGGCTGAGCTGAACCTTGAGTTGCAAAAGCCATTCTGAGGCTGAAATAAAAAAGAAATAAAAGCTATCTCTCTGCAGTCCATTCTGAATCTCAACACCTGGAAGTGGAAGCACTGTGTGTTGACCCAAGAATGACCCAAATGGATGATTTTAATTTCGGTTCCTGACTATTCGGTCTGATTCTTTTGTCAACTGCTTTCTCCTAACTGTTGTCCTTCCCTTAAAGAGGAACTCTGTCTTTGAAATAACACATCACTTGTCTTGTGCTTTGGTCACTGTCTTCCCTCTAGAACAGTGGTTCTCAACTGGGGTGGTTTGTCCCCATCCCCGGGACGTGGCAGTGTCTGGATGCCACGTTTTAGGTTGCCATGACTGAGGGTGGGGAGGGTACTACCGGCATCCAGTGAGCAGAGGGCAAGGATGTTGCTGGACACCCCGTAAAACCCAGCACACCGCCCACCAATGGGACCAAAATGATCTGGCCTCAAATCTCAACAGCGCTAGGACACAGAAGCCCTGGTCTAGATGACAGTTCCACAGACACAGGGACCATGTTGCTATTTGCTCAATCCCCCTCTGTGTATCCCGCGTGGCACCTGGCACAAAGTGGCACAGCGGGGGCGTGTGCATTGAATGAATGACTGCAGGTTAAAGAGAAGATACCCCTCCCATCCTTTTATTAAAGGACTCTCATTTTCATGCAGCAGAAACTAGAGCCTTGGCTAATCTAGCCAAATATTTTCCTAGGGCTGGAACCTGGTGGTGAGCATCACTTCAACCCTTTCCAGAGAGGATGTAGGACAGTGGGCATTCACAGCTGTGCACGTGCTAACACCCTGCTCAGCCGACTGGCTGCAGCAGGCCCAGCCAAATGCCCGGGAAAGCCACCAGGCCACAAGGGAGTCTGGAGGATCACAGACAACCATCATAAATCCCCTCAGAACTCAGCTGGGTTTAAAGTGCTAAGTGCCTGCTGTGAGCATCTGAGCCCACAGCATTTGCTGGCACTATGCTGTAAACCTGGGAGATTAAACAAATGCAACTCCAAAAACACAAAGGGCTGAAAGTGACTGTGAGAGGTGGGTGTGGACATTCTTTATCTATATTAAGAGTGACCATATTTATCTATTAATAGATAAATAAATAAAGATGAGAATACACACGCCTGTAGTTCCGGCTACTTGGAAGGCTGAGGCGGAAGGATTGCCTGAGCCCAGCAGGTTGAGGCTGCTATAGCCATAAGCATGTCACTGCACTCCAGCCTGGGCAACAGAGACTGACTGAAACAATCAAACAAACAAAACCCCCAAAATTAAAAGCCTGTGTATGGTTTGGATCCTACTGTAGCAGTAAGCACTCATGCAGCGGGTCCTCTGACGCCAACCTGAGCTGTCCACTGTCACATGGCCATCAAACGTACATCCAGGGTTACAAGGGCACCTTGAACTGCACAATCAAATCACTTCTGAAAATCCTGGCAAATAAAACTGCACCCCTTGAAGAAGGGAAGGTTTCCTTGAATAATGACTTAAAGAATATTTAATAATAACCACACTTATTTATTAAGTGTTCACTCTCAGCCAGGCACTGGGCTAAGCCCTTCATAGAATATATCTCCTTTGATTTTTTCATCATCATTTTCAGCTGGGAAATGCAGTCCCAGAAAGGTTAAGAGCCTTGTCCAAGGTCACACAGATCACGGAGCTGGGATTTGGACACGGATTCCTCTGACCCCAGGACTTGTGTCCTCTCAATCGTGGCTTCCTTCTGCTACCATCTCTGTGTTCATGGTTTTCAGTTTAGTATGAAAAGCAAACTTGAGGCATGATGTCATAAATGAACCGCTGAACATGTTCTACGGAATGTCGCACAGGACATGGAAAAGGACCTGCCATGCTTTAGTGACTGACCTGGCACAGTGTCACTGCAACGGTATGTCCTACTGTGCATGAATGGAAGGCCACGTGTCCATGCAAACACTGGATGGCCAGGGTGCCCACCAGTGAGGACAGACACCAGCTTGCTCGGTGGAGGGAGGACCTGACCGGCCTGGCTACACAGGGCACCCAGCTAGCATCTACCTCCGGCCCGCCCTCTCCCCATGCCAGTCGCTGTGGGGACAAGTTTTCTTTGGTTACCGTTGAGATCTCTATTCTTGAGAGAGTTGGCAAATCAGGTTTTGCACCCAGTAATATTTTCTGGATATTTTTTTCCATTCGGAGAGTCTTTAGTTCCAGAAAAGATTCATTCAGGTGGCCCTTATGATCTATAAAATACATAAAAGAAAAGCCCAGGAAGAAGTTATTTTGTGTGATAACCACAGCTACTACTTACGGGGAACTCACAACAGGCCTGTTTTAACCCTCATGACCTCCCTTGGCAGCTGAGGAAACTGAGACCTAGAGAGATTAAATGACTTCCCCAAGGTCACCCAGCCAATACGAGGCTGCAGTCACACAGGCAGCACCAGGGCACGAAGGGTGAACTCTGCTAAGGTCCTTCAGCCATGAGACAAGGATGAAACTTGAACCCGGGCTTCCAGGTCCTTGTCCAGGGCTCTACCCACAGTAAGCTCCAGATCTCGACAGAGCCCTATCCCCTCTAAATGGGGTATGCTGGCCAGGCTCAGTGGCTCAGCCTGTAATCCCAGCACTTTGGGAGGCTGAGGCAACTGCCTAAGTCCGCGGGTTCGAGACCAGCCTGGGCAACTTGGCGAGACCTCGTCTCTACAATAAATAAAAAATTAGCTGGGCGTGGTAGCTCACGCCTGTAGTTCCAGCTACTTGGAAGGCTGAGGCAGAAGGATCGCCAGAGCCCAGCAGGTCGACGCTGGGGTGGCCGTGAGTGTGCCACTGCACTCCAGCCTGGGCAACAGAGTGAGACTCCAACTGAAAAATAAATAAGTAAATAAAAAATAAATGGGAGCTGGGCTTGGAGGCTCAGTCTGTAATCCCGTGCCTTGGGAGGCCGAGGTGAGTGGATTGGCTGAGCCCGCGAGTTCGAGACCTGTCTGGGCAACTTGGTGAGACCTCATCTCTACAATAAATCAAAATATCAGCCAGGCATGGTATTGTGCGCCTGTAGTTCCAGCTACTTGGAAGGCTGAGGCGGAAGGATCGCCTGAACCCAGCAGGTCAAGGCTGCGGTGGCTGGGAGTGGCCACTGCACTCCAGTCTGGGCGACAGAGTGAGACTCCAACTCAAAATAAATAAATAAGTAAATAAATAAACGGGGTACGCTGAGCGGTTTCCCGACCTTGGTCCTTGGACAGTGTTCATCCATGACAAAGTTCCCACTTGGGCACATGAAACAAGGAAAAGGACAATAGTGAGTTTTTCTTGAAATCCTAGTAGTTATTTACTATGAAGGCCTGCACTTGATTCTGAGACCAGGGTCCGCCATCTTTTTTTTAATATTACAACATCCTTTTGGTTTTCAAATGATGGGAATAAAAGATAGCCGACCTGACAAATCGGTCAGTCCCTTGAGTGGTCCGAGTCTGGGGTCTACCTGCCTTACTAGGAAGAAGGAAACTTACTTGATGAGCAGGCCTTCTCAAGTTCTTTGATTCGCCCTCGAAGTTCAGATAAGGCCTTTTTCTGACGCTGAATGACTTCCTCATGTCGGGACCCTTTGCACTTGGCCCCCAGGTCACTGAAGGATAGCTCCTATGGCAGAATGGTGCAGGGGCCGTTGACCAAGGATTAGTCTCTATTTCTCCTGCATTCATTAGAAACCAGAACAATTCGTAGAGCAGAAACCCTGTCCCAGCATCTTTGGAAAATATCCTAAGGGTTTCAGCAGAGATGGAATTTAAACTTCTCATCTCAAACATCAGGCTACGTGTAGGAAGAATTCCAACTTTCCTATCTACTTAGCACCACTATAAATACAAGACTCCCTCTGTGCTCCCTTTCCACATCTTATTTATTTTTTCTTCTAATTTTCTTTTATGTCTGACTTTCCACTTGCCATCTTGTTTCTAAACAATCACAGCTGATCTACTCCTGGAATGAGCATTTTTAGATGAGAACAAATGATGCTTTCTTTTTAACAGGTAAGAAGGATGTTTAGTTAGTGTTTGTTAGGGAGCGTTTGAGAGACTGGCTCTTGGTTGGTCTGGAGAAAGGAAAATCTTTCTCTGAGACTTTTGGAGTCTCTAGAAGAGCATGATTCCACGGAACTTTCCATGATAATGTTCTATACTGGCACCATCCAATATGGCAGCCACCAGACACGTGTGGACCATCCTGGGCAGTTCAGGGCTGGAGTTGGGTTCACTAGGAGCACAGACAAGAGCAGATCCTCTTCAGCTTTTAAATGTCTTGTGCCCTTTTGAGATTTGGAACTGGCTGGGTGTGGTGGCTCATGCCTATAATCCCAGCACTTTGGGAGGCTGAGGTGAGCGGATTTCCTGAGCCCATGGGTTTGAGACCTGCCTGGGCAACTTGGTGAGACCTCATCTCTAAAAAGAAAAAGAAAGAAAGAAAGAAAAGAAAGATTTGGAAAAACGCAGGGTTCTTTCCTCCAGAAAAATTCACATCCACACAAACACTTGCATATAACTTCTAAAGGTTCAAGAATTGAGTCCAGTCATGGCCTCCACGTTACCCAACACATCTCCGGGGCAAGCCATCCACTCATCTCACACAGACTCCTCGAGCATATCTGTGTGCCAGGCCATGCTCTAGGTTCTGGGGATTTAGCCATGACTAAAACGGGCAGCATTCTGCTGCCATGGATTCTGCTTCCGAATGTGGGAGACAAAGAGGGAAGATAAGAGGGGAAAATTCAGGGTGGAGAGTGACGAATGCTCAAGGGAAAATTAAGTGGGGTGATGGGGTGGGGCGTTGGGAATGGTTTTGTAGACAGAGCTGTCGGAGAAGGCCTCAAACTGGAAGAAAGGGAAGAAACTGACAATCTGGGTCTCGTCATAATTTTTAAAGTAACAATTTTAGTTTGCTTATACACACATATATATAGATAGATATAGAAGATAAGATTTATGTAGCATAAAGTGAACCAAAGTTATTTTTAAAATTCTCTCTCTTTCTTCCCTCCTTCCCTCCCTCCCTTCCTCCCTCTGCCTCTCTCTATCCTCTATCTGCTATAGTGCTGACTACATGCCGGACACTATTCTAGGCACCTGGGCGAGATCAGGGACCAGGCAGATTAAGTCCCTTGGAAAGGTGAAATGCCACAATGGAGCAACTTTAGCCAAACAGCAGCCATTTTAAGCTTTGTCTTGCTTCCTTAGCATTTTATTTTAACTTGTCCTCTAATTATTAACAGGGGACAGAACCAGTTTACCGGAGGTGAGTCACCGATGGATGTCTTTCAACCCCCCAAGCTTGCTTTGTACTAACTAAACACTTTCATCCAAAGTATTTGTCTTCCTGCCCTAAAGGGCCAAGCTGCCCTCATCTATTGTGATCAGCCCTTCGTGACCTACGTGACACAGACCACCACCCCATCACCATGGCGACAGTTCCTGTGCGTACCTGCCCTTCTCACTGACTGACCCAACCATCCGCCTGCCATCCATCACCGTGATGTCAGCTCCTGGAATGCCTGCCTCATCCACTCTCAAGAGAAGTTTTAGAAGGCCTCTAGTCTCAAGCTCTGAGGGCCACGCTTTCTTTAAGCTCTGCTCCCTCCTCTACCCCCCCATCTTGGAGAGGTGGAGTCACCCTCTCTCTCTCTAAGCTACTTTTAAAATAAACTTTTTTCCTAATCTAATTGTTGTGCCATTATTTGCATCATACCCGTGGACTTGCCCACTGACCTAACATCCCTGCTGCCGTGCCCATCTCTATGGGGCAGACCGATGACAGCAAGCAGACAGGTAGGAAATACTCTTAATTCCAGAGAGCGAGAAACGCTGCCAAGAAACAAAGTAAGCTGGGCTCAGTGGCTCAGCCTGTAATTCCGCGCCTTGGGAGGCTGAGGTGAGTGGATTGTCTGAGCCCATGGGTTCGAGACCTGCATGGGCAACTTCGCGAGACCTCATCTTTACAATAAATCAAAAAATCATCCGGGCGTGGTAGCACATGCCTGTAATTCCAGCTACTTGGAAGGCTGAGGCGGAAGGATGGCCGGAGCCCAGCTGGTTGAGGCTGCGGTGGCCGGGAGCGGCCACTGCACTCCAGTCTGGGTGACAGAGTGAGACTCCAACTCAAAAAAAACATCAAAAAACAAAACAAAACAAAACAAAAAAAGAAACAAAGTAGAGGAAAGGCAAGGAGACGTTCACCTGCTCTTCTTCCTGTGATGACGCCAACGCTTATCACAGGCCCCATGCTAGCCGCGTTGACTACGGGGGGAACGGGGAACAGGGCCCGTGGCCTCCTTCAAAGGGCTCAGCGGTGCCACCTGAAGCCCTCTTGGGACTCTCTCTCTGCACCCCCACCCCGCATTCCCACCAGGCCCTCCCTCGCTTCATCCAAGAGCCCCCATGCCTGCCACATTACTTCCTGCCCTGAATCCACCATACATATCCTCAGAGGACTTATTCCCACCAGACATTTTACTTGATCTTGTTTATTTCTTCTTGTTTATTTCTGTCTCTCCCCTCCCAGAACATGAGCTCTGTGAGAGCCAAGTCTTTGTCTCCTTGGTAGACTGTGCTATTCCCAGGGCCTAGCACTGTGTCTGAGCATAATAGGTGCTCAATAAACACAAAGCCTAGATGCACTGAGGCCAGGGGCAGGAGCCGAAAGGAGCTCGTCCTGGTTTTCTGGTTGGGACCAGGGCTCAGCAGCCCAGCGAGGCAGGTACTCCATACCCCCTACACTTAGTAGGACCTCGCCTGTACTGGGACCATGGCTCCAGAGTGATTCCAGGTTGTCTGGCTGGTCCCCTTCCCGGCTCGGTTCTGCACTGGCCTTTGATGATGTGTGTTTGCCCTGGGAGTTCTGGAATGTTCCCTCTGTCTCTCTCTGTGTATAGAGGTGGGTAGGAGATACTGAATTTCGAGGGCCGGGGGCAGCCTCAGCCGTGAGGCTCAGCAGCAGCCTTTGCTTGGCCCAAAGAGCACCCAGAGCCCCACATGACCCTCCCTCTGGCTCTTCTGGGAGTTTCTTTATTTAGAGAGGTTGGAGATTCTTTCTCATACAACTCTTAAGCCCTCTGACCCACTCTGGCTTAGAAAGCAGGAAGTAGCCTGAGGGACGGAAGCCATTCCGAGAAGGAACAAATACATTTTTCCTTTTATCTTGCAGCCTCCCTCCCCCACCCTCCTTTACTAATCCTTCATCACACAGATGGAAAATCAAGGTCCCAGTTCAACAATCCATCCCAGCAAGTGTGTGCAGAGTCCAAAGGTGCTTGGTGTGGGTGGAGGCCCTGTGTGGCTTCCCCTGTCCCTGCCACAGGGTCTGGCATACAGTAGGTGCTGGATAGTTGTTGAATGAGTGCACAAACATGAGTCAGGTCCTGTCCTAAGAGCCTGGGATTCCAACAGGAGTGATGCACACTCTGTCATTCCCCACCCCCCAGCTGCAGCTTCCCTCCTCAATGCCTGTTCAAGAGTTCCGGACAGGACAGCAGTCGGTGCCAAGGACAGCTGGCCAGACCTCAGGCCCTTTCGTTCAAGCTGTGTGCGGCCTGGCCCAATGGTGTCTGGCAGGGAAAGGCATCCTTGAGAAAGCAGGAAGGCAACCTGACACATTTGGCCCTGCTTCCAAGTGAACTTCCAAAGCCTGTTACTCACAAAGCCAAGGGGAAAGGTTAACTCCGGACTCCAGGAAACCCGCGGCCTCGAGGAACCACTGCACCCCACAGTTGGCCTCCTGCAGGTGATAGGGAGTCTCACAGCCCCAGCCACAGGGACAGGGCGCGAACCTGTGCTTCGAAGACCACCGATGAAGGCTGTTCTTACACAAAGACACGCTCCCCATTTGGAGCTTCCGGCCAGGCACATGGAGAAGAGTGACCGGGGGTCTCTCTGGGAAGGCAGTTTGGCTCCATCGAGCTCAAGTTAGGAAGCACAAGTATATTAGCTACAGCATTGTACGGAGGGAGAAACGCCTACCCATCCATCAACAGGGGACTGGCGGAATAAAGAAAACAGTGGAAGTCTATGCAGCCATTTAAAAGAACGAGGCAGCCAGGTGCGGCGACTCAAGCCTTTAATCCCAGCACTTTGAGAGGCCGAGGCAAGAGGATTGCCTGAGCCCACGAGCTTGAGATCATCCTGGGCAACTTGGCAAGACCTCGTCTTATGGTGAATAAAAAAATTAGCCGGGCGAGGTGGCACATGCCTGTAGTTCCAGTTACATGGAAGACCGAGGTGGAGGGACTACCTGAGTCCAACAGGTAGAGGCTACAGTGGCCGGGAGTGTGCTACTGCACTCCAACCTGGGAGACGGAATGAGACTCCAACTCAAAAAATAAATAAATAAACAAATATATAAAAGAACGAGGCAGATCTGTATAGACTCGCAAAGGTGCTCATTCAATAGCGTTATATATTAAAAAAATATATTGCAGAGTATACAGGGTTTCATACCATTAGCAAAAGATTATCTATTAAATATCTGAATTGAATGAGTTTATGTGTGTTTGTCTGTGTTTGTTCACATGTGCATATAAAGAAAAGCTTTTCTCAACCACCCCATGAGTTTCCTAGACAAGGGAACTGGTGCCAGAGACCTCCCCAGGGCCACAGTTTCTAAGTGGAGGAGTTGGGATTTGAACCCAAGCAGAGTGGAGCCAAGCCTGATCTCCAACCACTGCACATTCATGACTATATGAGGTCATGGAAGTCTTTGGAAGGAAAAGACCTTCCACACGTCAAACTGTGGGTCGCCGGAACCTCTGGTGACCATGGCTGGGTTTTACTTTATACATTTCACATAAGCAAATCATTCTTTTGGAACGTGGAATGAAAACATCTTCCAAAGGAAAGGAAGGTGCCTCTGGGCCCCGTCCCAGCACATGCCCAGGACGGGTGGGCACCCACCTCCTGGCTGCTTGAGCCGACCTCGGTGGGGCTTGGTTCTATCTGCACTGAGATGTCACACATCTGGGTCTTCTTCCTGGGTTTCTGCTCCTTCTCCAAGTTCATCTGGAGTTTGTGTTTCTCTTGGGAAGCCCTAGGGAAGAGATGAAGTGTCATGGGCGGCAGGACGGCTCGAGGTCCCAGGAAGCACAAATTGCTTTTGTACTCTTGACAGACCAGGCACTGGAGCTCTGTTTTTATAGGTACCCGAATTCCTGGAGACTCCCAGCCTCCTGCCCCTAGATTTCTAGAGAATCCCATCTCAAGGGATTTACAGGACAGTGGGTATCTGGGCTTGCTTTTCACACTGGGCCTGTGGACACCTGTGGTGGCATCTCCAGGGATACTGACTGCATGTCTGCTATTTCCAACACTTTGTGTGTGTTGACTCTTCTATTTGTCATTACAATCCCACGATTATTGTCCCTTTTTATACACAAAAGACACAAAGCAATGTGCCTGCAGTCACCAAGACTGTGAGTGGAGGCATCTGGCTTGAGTCCAGGGAGCTGGGACCCGGAACTGTTCTTTTTAGTCACTCTGTGCATCAGCCTTGGCCATGAGGCACACAAAGTCACAGGTTAGACACAAAACACCAATTTGACTCAAACTTTTTTGGGGGAAACATTACTTTTGTTAAAATATGGATAAGCTATAGACAAAAATGCAAACTCACAGGTATTTTTTAAAAGATAAACGCATGGGACAACAACAGTATTTTGTATTTATTTTAGGCTGACACCTCCAGTTCATTCATTTGTTCAAATTCAAGTTCTCTTATGTGTGAATGCTGGGAAATCGGCAGTGGGTGAGGTCTATACAGACCCTGTTCTCAGTGGCCTTGCTGTGTGATAAGTGGGAGGCTAGAAAGAGAGTAGGGGCTGGGCGGGATTCCTTGGTGATGTTTGGTGAGGGTGAGGGAGGGAGGGCTTCCTGGAGGAAGTAGCATTTAAGCTGAGACCTGTCATCTGAAATCTTGGGCAAGAATGTTTAAGAAGCACAGAATTAAGCAAAGACCTGCTTTAAAATTGAAGCACTGAAACACATATCATTCATTCATTCAAGCAATTCCTCCGGCAGCATTTACTGAGCACACTCCCTGTGCAGGCCTCCTGGGGGATCCCCGCACCACGTGGCCCCTCCACACACCTGAGCGCCTCCTGAAGGGCCCTCAGTTCGTGGTCCTTTTTCTCAGCCAGTCTGCTCATCTGGGCCACCTTGTCCTTGAGTACGCTCAGCTCGCTGCTCTGCTCCTGGACCACTGCCACGTGCCGCTCCAGCTCCAACTTCTGCTTCTCGCTGAGCTCCCCTGGAGGGACATGGAGGCCGGCCAGGGGTCTGTTAGGGCCATGGCGGACCTTCCAGGCTGCCGACAGCCACCAGGCAGGTCTGCCCTCCATGGTTCCTCAGGGCTGCCTCACGGCAGTAACACGATGGCACACAGGTATCAGCTTCTGGGGGGCTGACTTGGGAGACCTGGGCTTCTGCCTCACCCCCACCTCAGTGCTGCTCCCTGCACCCCTGCACCTGTCAGGGCGACACTGGTGCCCTTTGACTCTTTCTTTTCTTTGAGTTGGAGTCTCACTCTGTCACCCAGGCTGGAGTGTAATGGCACAATCACAACCACTGCAGCCTCGACCTGCGCCTTCTGCCTCAGCCTCTCGAGTAGCTGAATGGAGATTACAGCCTGGGCCACCAAACTCAGCAAATTTTTAAATTTAGCATAGAGATGAGGTCTTGCCATGTTGCCCAGGCTAGTCTCGAACTGTCAGGTTGAGGCAATCCTCTCACCTCAGCCTCCCAAAGTGCTGGGATTACAAGTGGGAGCCACCACACCCAGTCTTGTTTGGCCTTCTATTAGGGTGCTCCAGCCAACATTCAGCCACCCAGCTCTGCGTCTTTTTGTCAGTGGGCATTCTAAGGCCTCTGAGCCTTCCAGGCACCATGACCTCCCCCAGTAAGTGGCACAGGCCTCCTCTCTTCCACCCCTGGGGGCAGCCTGGAGGCAGTGTTCTACCCCATTCCCAGCATCTGGCAGAATGAAGTGCCAGTGGCCCCTGTGCCCACAACGACTGACAGCTGTCAACCTGCTTTCTTCCCCTTTGGTCTTACCCCCTCCACCCCTCACCGTCTCCCAGACTGAACAGCTTGCAGCGGAATCCTGCTCTCTGGGTCCGCTTCGGGGGAAGCCCAAACCAGACACCGCATGACCTTGAATCTGCCAAGCAACCCTCCAGGGTAGTTACTATCAACACCCCCAGCTCACAGATGCAGAGACTGAGGCTCATAGTGGAAAAGAGCCTTGCCTAAGGTCATGCAACTGAGAACAGGAAGATGCAGAACTGGGTCCAACATCTGGTTCTAGAACCGGACACTGTTCTCTGGCCTCTGCTTCCTCATACCCCCATAAATGACTCGGGAACGTTAACGGGAATGGCCACAGGAGCAAGTGCAATTGGAAGGCAGTGAAGTAAGTGCAGGGCTTGAGGTGGGAGCACGAGGGGTGCTCTCTACCTCCCTCTCCTTCCCCACCCAGTCTGCTTCCCAGTCCTGCTGCCTGTTGTCCACCTTTCCGGCTCGATGGTGACTAGGGATGGGGAGAAAAGATTCCTTTGGAAGCAGGAAGTGAGGTGGGAACAAAGGCACACAGAGGGGAAGCAAAGCCAGAACGTGATACCAGCATTGTCTGTGTCTGTCTGGACAGCACAGAACAGCACAGAGCTCATAGTTGGCCCACATATCCCATGGCCACTATGGCCATATCATCTCCAGAAGTGGGTGTGCTGCCTCCATTTTGCACTGGGGGAGGGAGGAGCCTGGAGAGGTCACTTTGTGCTAAGTCCCAGGGCTAGTGAGTGCTAGGACTTGTGCAAACTGGCCTGCCTCAGGGGGGCCCAGGGCTGCCCTCCAAGCCTTTGCTTCGGAGGCAAATCTGCCATAAGAGAAAACCCTCCCTGAAAACGAAGGTGCATTTCAATGCAGAGGTCGGAGGTCCCCTGGCATTGGGGAGTGCTGAAACGGCACAGGAAGGTAGAGTGACCTTCTCGAGCGGGTCAGGATGTCAAGAGACACAGGAAATCGTTCAAACCTCTCAAATCCGACATTCGGCTGTGGGCTTCAGTAAGGTCTTTCCTTAACCTCATGATGACCTCTTGCTGAGACAGGATTTCCTTCTGAGCAGCTAGCAAGTCATCTCTGAAATTCATAAGAACAGGCACTGTCAGTTCAACTCAACCTCCATGGTGTTGCCTGCATGACAGGAAGGAGCCAAATTCAAGTGCAAACTGATGCACAACCATGGTTGAGATGCCAGTTCCAGAAGAACAAGAACAATCTTTAAACATTCTCAAAACGACATTTGTTTTGATATACCTTAATTTAAGAAAATACATAGAGGCCAGGCATGGTGGCTCATGCCTATGTAATCCCAGCACTTTGGGAGGCTGAGGTGGGAGGACTGTTAGAGCCCAGGAGCTCAAGACCAGCTTGAGCAACATAGTGAGACTCCTGTCTCTACAAAAAAAAAAAAAAATCAGCTGGGAGTGGTGGTATGTGTCTGTAGTCCCAGCTACTCAGGAAGCAGGAGGATCGCTTGACTTGAAGCCAGGAGGTTGAGGCTGCAGTGAGCCAGGATTGTGCCATTGCACTCTAGCCAGGGTGACAGAGTAAGACTGTCTCAAAAAGAAAATAACATACATGGAGACAGAACAAAGGTTCTGACTGAGTTGGTGAGGGTGACACCCTTCTGGTTCAATCATCTGTCAGCATTAATTTGATTTGCTTGTGGGCTCTTTTGACCGTGGGAATGGGAGGGAGGACTATTTGAGGCTCAGGGCTTCTTTGAGGACAGAGAAGAAGAAAGAGAGGACAGCGTGGCTTTGATTTGCTCAGAGTTCCTTTGAATTCCTGGTGGAGAGAGGAATGGAGCTCATGGGGGAGTCGGCCCATGTGGGCTTCCTGGACAACCAAGGTGGGCCTGGGGATGGTGAGAGGACAGGCCCTCCCCACACCCTCTGGCACCCTGAGGCTTGGGGCGGTAGACAGGAGGGTGGCTGTGCCCCATGGAGGGGGAGAGGGCATCCAGCAGGAATGGTGGAGGGGGGGCCCTGACAGAGCATTCCATGGGAGGAACACGGGGTGCATTCCCACAGGGTGAGGACCCTCCCCTGGGGAGACATGGTGTGTTTGTCTTGCCCATATTAATGCTATCTCACTTGAGCGCCCAGGTTTTAGAAATCTGGGCTCTTCTTATGGAGACTTTTGAAGGTAAAGTGTTTATCATAAAATAAAGCAAAACAAAGATTGATGATCACTGGAATGAAAATAACCGTGTATCTGTACATTCTGTATGTGTGTGTGTGTGTGTGTGTGTGTGTGTGTGTCACACACACGCATCTGCTTGGCTTTACCATGACGCCTCCCATGTGAGGATGGACCTTCAGAACCCAGGTGTGTCCGAAAGCAAATGAGGGGACCACAGTGACGTGGTGCAGATCCTCTTCCTAGCCATGGCCACGGGCATCTCAAGAGAGATCTAGCAGAAGGAATCAGCCAGGAACGCTTCCCAACCTGGAGGCTGTTGTCTTTATCTGTTTTAGGGTAGGAGGAACCCTGTGACATTAGGTTTCGGTAAATGGAACTGGGTGCAAGGAGCAGGTGGGTAGCTCGTCTTCTTTGAGAAGTTTTCTGAATCCCTTCTCTGCATCCCATCACTGCCTTCTTATTGCCTGCTGCTTTGTAGTGGCTTTCTGGAAATTTCCCATCCACACGTTTTGCTTCTCTGAAAACCGCTGGTTCTTGGAGGGTCAAGTTATAAACTCATGGGCTCTTGGGGTTGGGAGAGTTGCTGTCATTCAGGGAAGGTTATTTGTTAGTGTGAACCTCTTAACTTTTAACCCTCTCCAGGATCCCACCCCACAATGCGGTCTCCACTGCCTAAAACCTTCACTACCTGCTTATGATACCTGGGAATGGGCCCGCCTCTAGCAACCACTCCCGAAGTGCTAGCAATGGTACTGGCTAGACTGACCTCACACCAGGCACATCTGTATTTCACAAAGTAGGAAGCTAAGGCTTGGAGCACTGGTGTGACTTGCCCAGGGTGTCACCACTAGAAAGTGCTGAGCTGGGATCTGCTAAGGCTTGAATGTTTGTCCCTGCTGAAACTCATGTTGAAACCGAATCCCCAATGTGGCCGCATGGAGAGACGGAGCCTGTAAGAAGTGATTAGGTCATGAAGGCTCTGCCCTCATGAATGGAGTACTCCGCTGATGGATGAATAGACTCATGGATTAATGGGTTCATGGACTAATGGTTTATCACGAGAGAGTGAACTGGTGGCATTGTGAGAAGAAGAAGAGAGACTGGAGCTAGCATGTGTGATTTCCTGAGCCACCTCAGCACTCTACAGAGTCCCCGTCAGCAAGAAGGTTCTCGCCAGACATGGCTGCTGGACCTTGGACTTCCCAGCCTCTATAGCTATAAAAAATAAATCCCTCTTCTTACAAATCACCCAACTCTGAGTATTCTGTTATGAGCAACAGGAAACTGATGAGGGGTCTGAATGCAGACCCACCTGGATCTCTCTTAGACGCCATGCTGACTTGTGAAAGCATCAAGACATTGAAGCCACATTGAGGGACCGCAGACCCCCTCCTTTTCTGGGTTCCGACAGTGTGGCCAGAGGTCAGGGTTTGTGTGTTTGTCCTGCCCAGCTGGCGCCAGTTGCCCACCCTGCAGGTACTCACATCAAGTGTTCGCACGTCATCTCTGTGGCGCTGTTCTTGGATGAAGGAGCCACTGGAGGGTCTTGTGGCATGTCCTCCTTTGGAGCTGCAGCAGAGGGACACAAGGATGTCACTAGAACCCCCATGCAGTGGCTGCTATCCTTCCCCTTTGCAAATCACACTTGTGTTTTCCAAGCTTGTGAAGCCTCCCTACGCCTCAGCCTTCTCCACCTCATGAGACCCACCCTGTGCTCTACGTCCCAGGCTGGGCCTCCCCAGGCCAGAGGCCATGCAGTCTTCCCAGAGCCCCTACAAGGCAGGGATCACTAAGTCCATTTACAGCATGGGAAATGGGCACCAGGGTGATGGATCCGGCTGGTGGTCACTGGGCTGAGCTGGCCCCAAGGTGCAGCCTTAGTTCTGGGGTCACACATCCTGCCTTTGTTCTCATTTCAGTGCAGACGAGTCTTGGAAGAACAATCTGGCTCAGCACCTTCCTGTCCTCGCCGCACACTTACCCCTCAGCCCACTGCCACTGGCTTCCTTTCTCACCACTTCAATCACACGTTCACCCACTCGTTTATTCAGCCAACAAACATTTATGGAATGCACGCTGATCTAAGAGTGGGGGTGGCAAAGAGGCTGTCACCCTTCAGGTCCCAGTTCAAGCACTCTCCCTCTGACCTGGATTCTGGGTTAGGAAACTCAGTCCTGTCCCCTGCCCCTGCCCTGTTCATCCTGGACCTTGTGGCAGGGCAATAATCTAGTTGCCCACAGGGACAAAAACTGGCCTGAATGAAGGAATGAACGCATGACGAAGTTAGCCCTCAGCTTGCCAACTGACTGGAAACTAGAACCATGTTTCTTTCTTTCTTTTTTTTTTTTTGAGTTGGGGTCTTGCTCTGTTGCCCAAGCCGGAGTGCCGTGGCACAATCATGGCTCACTGCAGCCTCATCCTCCTGAGCGCAGGAGATCCTTCCACCTCAGCCTCCTGAGTGGCTGGGACTACAGGTGTGTACCATCGGGCTCAGCTTATTTTTTGGATTTTTTGGTAGAGACCACATCTTGCTACGTTGCCCAGGCTGGTCTTGAACTCCTGGGCTCAAGCGATCCTCCCGCTTCAGCCTCTCAAAGTGCTGGGATTACAGGCATGAGCCGATGCACTTGGCTTTGGGTTTGTTTTTTAAGAGACAAATGACCGATGGCAGAGAGAGGCCTCTGAAAGGCCCCTGTGAGGGATGTTTTCATGTGGAAAAGATGATTCCATACCATGCTGCCCTCGACGCCCTGACAGCCCTGGCAGAATGCGTGTCTCGTCGGCTCACTGGGCTGGCACAAAGGATGTCCCAATTCATTGTCATTACTTCTGCTCAACCTGGGCCTCGGAGGGCTTCTAACATTGTTGTGTAACAAGACAAAAGGGGCCTCCAGGGAAGGAATGAGCTTTCAGATGAGGCTTGGCCTCTGCTGTTGACCAGCTGATGGGGCCCACAGGAGGGTCAGAACATGCCCTGCACTGAGGATTCCCCGGCCTCTCCGGGCTCCTACCTGGGTCACTGTCCTTCAGGGTTGCGATCTCTCCTTCTATTTTTTTATGGTGTTGAGTGACTCTTTGGAGGCGTTCCTCCAGACTCACGATCGTCTGGGAGTGCTGTTTGATCTGCTCCTTATATTCCAGAATTTCTTCCTCAAATCCATGTTTCTGAGATTCTCGCTCCTCCTGGAGGGCCTTTACCATCTGCTGTTGGAGCCTGAATCTCTCCTCCATCATGATCTGGGAAAACACAGTGATGTGGAAGGTGGTCCTGGGCAGGATGTGATAACGACAGTGATATGTTTGCGCTGCACCTAGGTGCTAAGCTGGGGCTGCCCAGGGCCTTTGCACATGCAGTTCCCGCTGCCTTGTACACTCCTCCCCTAGACCCCTGCCTGGCTGACTCTTTGACTTTCAAGTCTCAGTTCCAGCATCACCTCCTCTGAGAGGTCCCTCACCCCTGCCCCCCGGTCAAGGCTACCTGAGACACTTTCTGTTCCAGCCTCTGTCTCATTTTCCCCGAGGCCTTTACCACCCTGCAAAATGACTTTGTTTCTTTGTTTTTCCACGTCCACTAGAAGGTGAACTCCGGACAGGGAAGCTTGTCTTCTCTTTCTCACTAGATCTAGATGCTTGATAAATGTTTGTGGAATTAACGAATGAACAGTTTTTTAAGAAAAAGTGAATGGATGTGCACTTCTTACAAACAACAGTTACCAACGACTCCAGGGCGACTCGGATCTTTCCATCTTTGCCTCTCCTTGGCATCAGATCCCAGCACCCCATCCTTTCTCTGCTCCACCTCTCCAGCCTCACCCTCTCGGGCTCCCTGAACGCCACGCCCCTGCTCCTCTGATCCTGACAGCTCCTGGTACCCACCGTCTTGGGGACCATGCCGATGAGCTGGCTTCCATGTGAGCCCCCGCCCTGCTTCCTCTCCCAAATCCACTGTGCCACCCAAAGCTGGGACTTGAGACCTCCGATGCCACCTGCCTCCTCTTCTCCAGGAGATGGTCCCTCTGATGAGAGGCCCTCCCTGGACCGCCATATTCCCACGCGATGCCACCCCTATGCTGTCATGTCCTCAGGTGCCCTGGCCTGTGGCTTGTGGGCTCCATTGGCTCCTCCGCCCCTTGGCAATTGTGTCCCGAGCCAGTTGTCGAGTCCCACCCTTGTAACTCTCTCTACTGTGGCTCCTTCCTCCCATGCCTCTGCCCACCGACAGCCGAGTATCCAGGTCCTTAGGATTCTAGACTCTGGAAGTGGCCACCACATGCCATGCCCAGAGCTAGTGTCTCTGAGTCCACCTCTGGCGAGTTCCTCTGTGTACTGCTGGCAGACAAATGCCAGCCAAAGCTCAAAACGTCGTCCTGAGTCTGTGGGATAGTCACTGACCCCTAACTGCTGTCTGTGGAAAGCTTAATGCTTTCCCTGACCCTCTGAGGACCCTGCGTGGCAGCATCTTAGAATGCCCTGGAGAGAGTGCCTCCTACCTCAGTTTATCTTTTCTTCTAAACCAAAGCTTCTCATGGGGGAGGGGGGGATTCTGTCCTCTAAGGGACGTTCTGCAATGTCTGGAGATGCTTTTGATATCATGGCGGCGGGGAGAGGGCTCCTGGCATCTGGTGCGTGGAGGAATGGGATGAAGCGAAGCATCCTGCAATGCCAGGACAGCCTTGACAGCAAAGGGTGATTTGGCCCAGGATGCCCCCAGAGCTGGGGTGGGGCAGCTCTGGTCTAAGAAGATGCTGTAATCTTCCAGGGAGGGGCAGGCTCTGGCCCCACAGGGCACCAGCTTACCATTTTCGTCTTGGCAGTTTCCAGCTCAGCTAATGTTTCATTTAATTTCATGGTGAGGCTCTCTGTTTTTAGACTCTCGGCTGTCTTTGTTTTCTGAGACTCTTCCACCATGGCTAGTGCGTCACTTAATTTATTATTTAAAACGTCCTCTTTCTGCCCTTTTAATTCTATTTCCTAGACAAACAGAAACATCAAAATAACAGATTTCAGGAATAAATATAAATATTTCCCCAGTCTCTCCCCCCACCCCGCACCCTGCCTTAAGGACTAGACAAACTCTATTCTGCAATTATTCTGTTGATCCTTTTCAAGTACAAAGTCTGTGTGTTCTCTGGAAGGTTCCAATTATTCTAGAACGGTTCTTTACATTTAGCGGAGACTGTCTCCTGGTGATTTCTGGTTTCTGAGCTCGGCTCTGTCACCTGGAGCTCAGTGAGTAAGTTTTATTTCTCTTTTATGAGACAGCTCTTTAACTATTGGAGGAGGGCTGTCAAGTCTCGCTCTAAATCTGTTCTCCAGGATAAATGCTCTGAGTTCCTTCAGTCCTTCACCACACGACCTGTCCTCGGGACGCTCCGCTCTCCTCTGGGGCTTTGGACCCAGGATGACCTCAGCCTGGAACTCCAGTCGCCCTGTCTAGGGCACACGTCACTCACCTCTGAGAACCCACCCTTCCAAACTTTAATGGCCAAAATTCTCTCCCCCCAAGTCCCCCCTTAACTTATGTGGAATGTGGGCTTCTTGACAGCCACCATGCTAGGCATTTCACAAGCATTGTTTAATCCAATTTAGAATATATTCCTGAGATGCGGTACTGGGTAATCTCAGATTCTGTTGGTGGCAGTGTAAACAAGTATGACTTTTCTGGAGGGGTCATTGGGGAACATGAATTGTGAGTCTGAAAGTGTTTGTATCTTGTGATCCAGTAATTTTACCCGAAGAATCTAAAGATAGGTCAGGCAGTTCACACTTGTAATCCCAGTACTGTGGGAGGCTGAGGTGAGAGGATTGCTGGAGGCCAGGAGTTCGAGGTTGCAGTGAGCTATGATCTCACCACTGCACTCCAGCCTGGGCAACACAGTAAGACCCTGTCTCTAAAGATAAAATAAATAAATAAATAAATAAATAAATAAAGTAAAACTAATGCTGCACAGAGTTGTTCAGTCAACCATCTTTTACACTAGTGGAAAGTGAGAAAGCACCCCAGTGCCTAGCCATCAGCGAGGGGTCAGTAAATGGGGGTCCTTCCAACACACTGCAAAACCAGGTCATGGAAGATTGCTCAATGACAGGGAGACATTCTTATGATAAGTATAACAAGCAGCTTCTGAAGCCGTGTGCCATGACACAGTGTAATTCGCTAACTCAGTAATTGATCGATGTTATGGATGTCTATAATAATGTCAACTTAAAGACACTCTGGAAGTGGCACTCTGGAGCTGGTCGCAGCTCTGTGCAGTGTCCCAAGGATCCACAACAAACTGAAATTGTTTCCCTGAAGGGCCCTGAGGCTGTCCTGCCTCAGGGTAGACTGTGCAGCCTGGTATTTTGGCTCCCGGCCGGCCATTCTGCAGCCTGAGGACAGGGGAACCAGGTTCACGTGTCCATGGGTCTGCACTACTGTCCTCTGCGGCCTCCTTTCCTATCCCACCTGTGTGGATGGGACTGACATTTCTATGGCTCTGCTGTGTACACAGGTAAGACAGCATGGGGACAAGCGTCTCTGTGCCTGAGAGGGTCTATGCCCCCGTGTCGCTTTGGTCTTTCCTGGTAAATGGTGGGTCCCTGGGGTGGGGTACTGTTCCTCCTTGTCTGGGGTGATGCCACCTGTCTACTTTGGGGGTTGTCACAAGACCCCACCCTCTAGGGTCACAGTTTGGGTGGCTGTTGAGAATGCTGCTTGCTACAGTACAGAGTCCTCGATGTGATGACCCTCAGGAGGGCGTCTCTCTGGGTCTAGGGTCAAGAAAGGACAGATTTCCATGAGCAGTTGGTCTATTTTTGTCTAATATGTGGCACAACCAGCTGGGCTTGTCCTCAGACTCTGCCTGCTGGAGAAAAAATGGTAACCTCTTCACTGATTTCATGTTACACATTTTTCTTGCATTTGTCTAATTCCTGATCTGTTTATGTCTCGACTTACCTATTTTTTTTTTGAGTTGGAATCTCACTCTGTCACCCAGGCTGGAGTGCAGTGGCACACTCATGGCCACCACAGCCTCGACCTGCTGGGCTCAGGCGATCCTTCTGCCTCAGCCTTCCAAGTAACTGGAACTACAGGCATGTGCCAGTACGCCCAGTTAAATTTTTTTTTAATTGTAGAGATGAGGCCTCGCTAAGTTCCCCAGGCTGGTCTTGAACCTGTAGGCTCAGGTAATCCTTTCGCCTCCTCCTCCCAAAGTGGGGGGATTACAGGTATGAGTCACTGAGTCCAGCTAACTTACCCACTTTTTTTTTTGAGTTGGAGTCTCACTCTGTCGCCCAGACTGGAGTGCAGTGGCCGCTCCTGGCCACTGCAGCCTTGACCTGCTAGGCTCCGGCAATCCTTCCACCTCAGCCTTCTGAGTAGCCGGAATTACAGGCACGCGCTACCACGCCAGGCTAATTTTTTTTTGATTCATTGTAGAGATGAGGTCTCGCCAAGTTGCCCAGGCGGGTCTCGAACCCGCGGGCTCAGGCAATCCACTCACCTTGGCCTCCCAAAGCCCGGGATTACAGGCTGAGCCACCGGGCCCGGCCACTTACCCACTTTTAAAACGTGACTTTCTCTTTTCGCCAACCCATGAAGTATATTACGTAAGACCCATGGCTGGGGAATAAGGCTGCTTAGGGACAGATGGCTCCTCTCGGGCTCCCCTTTCTACTTAGAGCTGTAAGTTTGTCATGTTCACATAAGCAGCTAACACATGGTGTTCACTGAGCACCTGGTACCTTTCTATGCGTTTTGTGTGTTTACTGGCTGTCACAACGGCTCAGGGACATTGCTCTAGTGTTATCATCTGTATTTCATAAGCGGGGAAATCAGGGCACAGAGAGGGTAAGTTACTTGCTTGAAGTCCCAAAGCCAGCGAGGGGAAGAGGCAGGATTTGAACCCAGAACCCTTCATGATACTGGGTTCCCCTCATACCTCTTTCTGCTTGGTCAGGTGGTTCTCCAGGTCTTGTACCTTTTTCTTTTCCTTCTCCACGGCCTCCTTGGCCTTGTGCCTCTCGTAGGCAAGACTGTTCTCTGAGATCTGGAAGTCAATGACACGTGGTTTGCGGGCCTGAGCCCTCAAAGGAAGATGACACCACAAAGGGACGCCAGCCCAAGTCATCCCTGAAACCACCGAGTCGGGGCTTGGGAGCAAGAGCTCGAGGCACGGGGCACCGGATGGGTAGAGACAAGGCTCTTGGCACACCCGCCTGGTGGACTATCGCCGTTAGTGAGGTGCAGGAAGGAGACAGAGACTCATCGTGTAGGACTGCGGGGCTAGCATTCAGGAAGTGACATGCTGGTGAGTGTTTGGGTCACGTCGGGTGGCTCTGAGCCTCTGAATGCACTGGCAAGTGTTGGCACCGATGCCAGCCCTCATTGGCAGAACCTGGCTTTTTGGGAGGTGGGGCAGGGAGACAGTGCCGGGGAGATGCCTCCTGTTCCAGCAGGCCCGACTCCAGTGGCTTCAAAGAAGGACACAGGCAGTCTCTGCCAGCCTACAAGGGCATAGGTTTTGATAATTCCTGTCCAGCACCCTTGAATCTTGGAGAACCAGTGAAGGGGCAGGAATGATAGGCCCGGAACCATGTGCACAGGCCCTGGGAGGTAGACAGCCAAGTGGGGTTGAAAAACTCGACTGCAGCTGTTGAAACCCTTGCAGTTATACCCCCCATACCAACATCAAGTTCACAAGAAGCATATTTTAAGTACACGTGCAGGCAAAAGACAAAGGGAGAGCTATGTCCTGAAATGCATATGGTGAAGCCGGGCTTGGTGGCTCAGCCTGTAATCCCGTGCCTTTGGGAGGCTGAGCTGAGTGGATTGCCTGAGCCCGCGGGATCGAGAACCACCTGGGCAGCGAGATCTCATCTCTACAATAAGTAAAAAATCAGCCGGGCATGGTAGCGCATGCCTGTAATTCCAGCTACTCGGAAGGCTGAGGCGGAAGGATCGCCAGAGCCCAGGAGGTCGAGGCTGCGGTGGCTGGGAGCGGCCACTGCACTCCAGTCTGGGCGACAGAGTGAGACTCCAACTCAAAAAAAAAAAAAAAAAGAAATGCAGATGGGGGGCATTTGGGGGGAATGGGATTATAGCCACTTATACTTTCTTCCCTCACGGGTCTCATCTTCCAAATTTTCCTTAGTGAACAGGTGTGAGTGGCAAAAAGGAAAATGACTGAAAATTGTCACATGGCACGCGACGCTGGGAGCTGGGACGGTCCCGATTCAAAGGCAGAGAGAGACTCTGAGGTTGCGTGTGGCCCTGGAGAGACAAGGATGGTCTGATGTTCTGGGTGTTCTTTTGGTTTTATTTTTTACGTTTTTTAATTTTAAAGATGTGGGGTACAATTCAGGGTTAAGTATACAGATGTTCATTACACAGGTACCCTTGCTGATGAGGTGTGTGTGTGTTCCGGGTGTTCTAACGTCGTGTGTGTGGCCCCTCCCTTGCCCCAGCTTGGCTCAGCATCCTCCCACCCCTAGACTCTGACCACCCCTCCCTGCTCACACTTGGCTTCTTCCCGCTGTCCAGAGCTCACTTAAGCTGGGCTCGGTGGCTCAGCCTGTAATCTCGCGCTTTGGGAGGCTGAGGTGAGTGGATTGCCTGAGCCCGCGGGCTCGAGACCCGCCTGGGCAACTTGGGGAGGCCTCATCTCTACAACAAATCAAAAATTAGCCGGGCGTGGTAGCGCGTGCCTGTAGTTCCAGCTGCTTGGAAGGCTGAGGCGGAAGGATCGCCGGAGCCCAGCAGGTCGAGGCTGCGGTGGCCGGGAGAGCGGCCACTGGACTCCAGTCTGGGTGACAGAGTGAGACTCCAACTCAAAAAGACTGTCCTGCCTACTCTGCAGGTGTATGTCTCACCTGTCATTTGGGGCCGCCAGCCCCCTTCGCCTGCCCTGTGGTAGGGGCTCCTTCCCTTCCCTCAGGCGCTGCTGGGGCCATCACAATGACACGGTCATAAAGATGCCTGGCACTGAATGCGCTCAGGCATCTACTCTGCAACCCCCAGGTAGTGTCTGTCCACCTATCCCTGTTTTACAGGTGAGGACGCCGAGGCTGTGGCCGAGGCAGTACAAGGACAGTAACTTTTCAGGGCCACACAACAGGAGGCGGTGAGCAGGCTTGGACGCCTACGCCCTGCGCTCACCACTGTGCCCACCACCTGGTCTTACCTATCCTCTGGATTCAAACCCTACCCTACCTGCTAAAACCCAGGCTGGCACAGAGCCTGTCATGCCTTCTGCAGGAGCCTGAGTTCGAGACTCCAGCCTGGCCCATGGGCCTGAGGCATGTCTGGGGCAGCCGTGACCAAGGTTTGGGTCCCCACCTTACCCAGGCCAGCTCGGCGTCTGTGTTCCCTCACCCCACCTGACTCTGGCCTCACCCTCCACCGGCTTGGCATTGTGCCTCTGCCAAGGTCTTTGTTTCCAGCTGTCCAGTTCCCGCCCTGCTGTACCCACAGGAACCCCCCCACCTGGACTCTGACCTCACTGGGACAGGTGCTTCCCAAGAGTGGATGCATCGACTCCTCACCAAACCTCTGTAGTGGTTCTGCCGCTATGTCCACATTACAGAAGAGGGCACAGAGAGGGCAAGGGGCTTGCCCAAGGTCACAAAGCAGGCAGAACAGAGCTGGGACCTGAGCCCAGAAGGGACACTTTTCGCCCAGCAAACTCTGCTGCTGCTTCCTCACCTCTCCCACCTGCTTCCCTCCCCTGCACCCTCCAGTCTCCACCCCGCCCCCACACCAGCTTCAGTTCCATTCCTCAGGACGCCTCCCCCTACCCTGCCTGTCCCCAGCCAGCTCGGGTCCCACTCTGCATTCGTGCCACTTTACCCAGTGGCCCTCTCTGCCCGCAGGATCCTTCTCCCTTCTGGGTCCCACTCAAATGCCACCTCCTCCAGGAGGTTCTCCCTGTCTGCCAGTTGCCCTGTAATCCGCCCTTCCACTTTGTTTCCCCTTAGCCTTGTGGCCCTGGAGCGGTCTCTGCGGTCCCTGTTTCTCCCCTCCCATGCGCTAGGATGGGCACTCCGGCAGCCTGACCCTGGTCGGTCTTGTTCACTGTGGTGACCCCAGCACCCAGAACAGACCTGGCACACAGTGGGTGCTCAGTGAATATTTGTAGACGGATGAATGAAGCCGAATCAAACAATCCACTGAACCTTCATTTCTGTTTCTGGAAGTTCCACGAGGGCCGGCACATGAGTGTCTGTGCCGCCTCCGTCCCTGGAGCCCAGCTCATGGAGATGCTGTTGAGTGTCACCAAGTGACAGCTCCCTGGCCCCCAGGCTTCTGTCCTCCAGCATGTGACACGGGTGTCCAGGCTGAGTGACATCCCTCTGGCTTGATCCCAGGGCCTGTCTTTCATGCTGCTCTGGGCTGGTGTGTCTGGCAGGCGCATCCCCAGACTAGGGGGCAGATGAATGTGGGAGTCTCAAGATTTGCCTGGGTCTGGCGCTTGGAAACCTGTCTCAGCCCCAGTCCTCCCCTCCTTGAGGGGTGCTTCTCCTCATCCAGTCCAGAAGGCACTGGTTCCCAGTGCTGCCTGGGGGTGACCACCTACCTGCCTGCTCCATCTCACTGTGCCGCTTGAGTCTCTTATCCCTCGGCAGTCCAGGGACGGCCTGCTCGAGAGGGTCTGAGGCCAGGAGGTCTAGCCAGGAGGGAGTGCCTTCCCCCGCGGCCATGCTGGGTATGTCACAGATACCTTTCTATGATGGGGAGGATGCTGGTGGAGGAACCGGCCCAGACTGCACCTCTCTCTCCTGGGTAGCTGAGCCAAAGAGCAGGGAACGCTTTCCCAGAGCCCTGTATGTGCAGGGTGCAGGTCTACATACTTTATACCAAGTAGCATTTACTCCAGGAGGCAGGGACTGTTCTCTTTCCCATTCTACAGATGAGGACACTGAGGGATAGGAGGTTGGACCATCTGCCCTGGGTGACACAGCCAGTGAGTGGCAGACACGGGCCACAAGTAAAGGGGCTCCTCCCGCATCTGCCCTCTTTCCCCTGAACTCTCTCAGGACACTTCTGGTTTCAGAGCTCCTTCCAGAAGGTTCTGGCTGTTGTAGCCCATATTCCCTCTGCAGCACAGCTCATACCTCCTTCTGTTGGGTTAAGTGGTTCTCCAGATCCTGGACTTTTCTTTTTTCCGACTCCAAGGCTTCCTTTGCTTTCCTTTTCTCCTGGGCTATGCTGCTTTCCAGAACCTGCAAGTCAACGACGGGTGCTCTGGGTGGCCTGCTCGTCTGGGGGGAGATTGTTAATGACCATGACGAGAATGTAACAGCTAGAGTGTCGGGGCAGCTACCATGAGCCTGGGCCCCAGCCAACCCTTCACTCTCACAGCAACCCTGTCAGAGAAGGGCCGGGGGTGGCCTGTTTTCGAGATGGGAAAACCGAGGAACAATCTGTCCATCGTGAGGTCTGTGCAGAGGAAAGCACACGGCCGCACACAGAGAACTGCGCGGGGGATGGGAGAGCAGACGGAGTGGTGTGCGTCACGGCCAGGCTGCCTCTCTGACAGAAAGAAGAGTCTCATTAATAATGTAATTTCCCATTCTTGAGATACATCTTTTAAAGAGAGCCCAGTTGCAAGAGGAGGGCAGTGCACTGAATTAGTGAATGAATCAGGGATGCTCAGGTAGGGTGCAGGGAAGGAAGCCTGGTTAGGGCCTAGTGCCCCACCAAGGGATTTTGTCCAGAAGGTGACTTGCTGAAAAGCTGTTCAGAGATGGTTTACTGCAAACCACCAAAGGAAATAAACTGCCCCCCATTCCGGTCACCGCAAGGAAGGGCAGCTCAGCTTCCAACGGCTTGCCTTTCCGACAGCAGCCTGACCAACACGGTTTTCATTACAACTCTGCTTAGCGCCCAGATCCCCTGCAGAGAGTATTCAACCCATTATACGGCTGAGACAGTGTGCATTTCGTGGTAAAAAGTTGCGTAAAAAACTCCAACCCTTGCTGTTCCAACACCAGCCCTAAACAAAGCAGAGGAGCACCAACATCACAAGAATTCATTTATTTTGAAGGTTTGAAGTGGGTCTCAGGGTGGGACCTTTTCCTGGAAATTGTGCAAGAACCTTCAAGGCCCTTCTTGGGGACTTGGGTTGGCTGTGGCACATCTGACCCCACATCTATGTGCATCAGGCCTTTCTCTGGGTGGTACCTCTGTAGTCGGGACAGGCACCATTGGGAAGAGAGACAGTGCGTGGCACATGCCTGGGTTCTGTCCCCATGGCGACTGTGCTCCCAAGTTCACAGAAGGTAATGGGAATTCACCTTTAACATGACCTCCAAACCCAAATGATGCAGCCTGGGCAACATAGTGAGACCTCGTCTCTACAAAAAATGCAAAAATTAGCTGGGTGTGGTGGCATGCACCTGTAATCCCAGCTACTCAGGAGGCTGAGGCAAGAGGATGGCCTGAGCTGGGGAGGTCAAGGCTGTGGTGAGCTGTGATCCTGCCACTGCACTCCAGCCTGGGTGACAAACGAACAAATCCAAATTAGGACCTAGAATTCTATTGTCCTGAACATCTGATAATGTGGCGGAGGGTCTAATAAAAATTAAAAAATCAAATAATCATGGTTGGTTGATGAGGTCTGTGGTGGGGATGATGTCTCAAATTCCCCTGATAGGAAACCACAGAGATGGGGCTGATGCTTTAATAGACCCGGGGTGATCCAGCTATGGTTCCCCTTTGCAGTGAAGCTTAAATCCTTCTCCCGAAGTCCCCCACGACCTCAGAATCTCTAAATTCAAGGGCCTGTTGACCTTTTGGTGGCATTTGACTCAAGTGACTCCATGAGGGGCCCTCCTCATCGCCATCCCCAGAGAAACAACTCAGGGCAAACCTCAGCAACACATTTCCAGAGGGCTGCAGGACATGGCTTTCCGGGAGACTCTGCTTGAGAACCCACGTATAAACCTGCCCCCACCCCATCAGATCAAACCGCACAGGCTTTGCACAGCGGCCTTATTTCTCCCGCAGGGGCGGACAAGCAGGAACTTTACACTGAGGAGGGCTGACAGAAAGCAAGTGCCCAAATAGAAGTCAAGGCAGAAGTGGCAGTAGGGACAATCATAACAACTGCCACTTATTCAGCAACAATTCTGGAGGTCAGTTAGCTCGTTATACATTACATCTGACCCTCATGGTCACTGTTTCAAGAAGGGAGGGATTGCTAGATCTGCCACAGCCAGGAAGTGGCCCAGACAGGATTCGAACTCATATCTTACCTAGTTGCAAAGCTTGCACTCCTCTGCGCTATCTTAAGATTGAGGGATTAATGGAAGCACATGGGAAAAAGGCTCAGAGATGTGAGGGTGACTCCAAGCTAGACACGAATCAACAATTCAGCAGAGCTTTCCCAGAAGCTAGTTTGGGCCTACTTAGAGAAGTATGACTTCAACAAGAACGGGGGAAGGAGGGTCCGACCTCGGCTGCCAGGGTTGAAGAATAGTGTTTGCCTCTGGCTACCACCCCTAAGGAAGAAAATGGGTGATGGGTTGCAAACTCAAACGTCTACAAGGGCCAGACAGACAAAAACAATAGGGACTGCTGAGAACTGTGGCAAACTGCTCTTACTCCATCAGGCTCCAGTCCGTTTTTGCCAAGCAGGGCCAGATCTTCTGACATTTCAAGAGAGGATGGAAATCTGGATTTTTAAATACTTTTTATGAATTTTTATAAATTTATGAACAAGTGTACGAACTTCGTGAATTCAAAATAAAACACTCTGAGGTCAAACATCTGCAGGCCCGTTTCAGCCAGCAAGCTGCCACTCTGTAACTTCTGGAGAGCAGAGCAGGCCAGAGGAGGGGGCAGTAGGAGAAACATGGGGGTGTGGGCCTGGGAAGAGCAGATGTGGGGAGCGGGCACCTCTATTTTCAAACATCTGAGCTATTTGGTGGAACAGGAATTGGACCCGCCTTGCGGGAGCCAAGGTGCGGGGGAGAACTGACATCCTTACAGGTGAAGGTGTTTGACCCCACTCCATCTCAAGGAGAAACTTGCTGCCCATCTGAGACATCAACACTGATGGAGCGTGCCAATAGAACTTGGCCGCTCTAGCTGTAGAAAATCCCTCGTGGTGGAGTCGAAGGCTGCCGCTTTCAGGATGTCGAGGGATATGCGCAGCCCTGAGATCCCACGACTCTGCCACCCCCCATATCCATATTTTGGAACACAACCTCCACGCAGCAGACACCCATCACCGGCCCCAGCCATCTCCCAGGACCTCTCTATGACTGCTCTATTTTGTTGGCAACTTTTCCCCAGTGGGTTGTCCAGGCCGTAATTCCAGGGCTCTCTCCTTGAGTCGCATGCTTCCCAAAGCAGCCGAGCCCACCCAGGACAAATGCACCAGGGAGGCTCCACCCCATCCTCTGTGGCTCTGGACAGGTTTCCATGCCTGACTGGGGCTGAGCTAACTCCAGTTTCCCGTGTGTACCTCCTGCTGGCGGGCCAAGCAGTGCTCCAGCTCCTGGACTCTCTTCTGTTCCTGCTCTAGTGCTGCCTTGGCTCTGCTTCTCTCTTGAGCAGCGCTGCCCACCAAAGCCTGCAAGTCAGTGACTGTTGTTTAGTCGACGTGGTTACCATGGCAGGAGCCTGGCTGCTGCCTGGCCCTGTAGGGCGACCTCTTCCCTCCTCACCACGCCCCCTGGGGAGATGAGGGCAGCACAGCCAAGGAGCTCAGGGCATGGGCTCTGGAGTCAGCCGGCCCAGACTGCAGCCCCAGATCCAGCCATCCTAGCCTTGGGGCGGGCCTTCATTTGGTCTGAGCTGACTCCAGCTCCCCATGTGTACCTCTTGCTGGCGGGCCAAGCGGGTCTCCAGCTCCTGGACTCTCTTCTGTTCTTCCTCTAACGCTGCCTTGGCTCTGTTTCTCTCTTGAGTAACGCTGTCCTCCAAAGCCTGAAAGTCAACGACTGTTGTTTAGTTGACGTGGTTACCTTGGAAGGAGTCTGAAAGCTGCCAGGCCCTGCAGGGTGACCTCTTCTCTCCTCACCACACCCCTGGGGAGATGAAAGCAGCGCAACCCAGGAGCCCAGGAGCCCAGGAGCCCAGGAGCATGGGCTCCAGAGTCAGCAGGATCTTCATTAGGTGAAAAACCATTGAGGCCTCAGTTTCTCTATCTGTACAGTGGGGACAGTACTAGTGCTTCCTGCACTGGGTTGATGTGAGGGGCGGAGGGAGGAGGAACACGAAATGCTTGCACAGTGATAACCATTCATCCCATGCTACAAAGGAGGAAACAGGCTTCAATTAAGGAATCTTCCCAGTTTACTGGTAAATCACAGGGGCGGGGATTCGAAACCTGGCCCATTTGATTCTGAAAACTATGTTCTAAACCAGAGATTAGCAAGCCATGACTTACAGGCCACATCTAGCCTGTTTTTTATAAATAAAGTTCTATTGGCACACTCCATGCTCAGAGCGCACCGCCTGTGGCTGCTTTTGCCCAAGAGCAGTGTTGAGTAGTCATGACAGAGATCATATGGCCACAAAACTTCTGGGCTCTTTATGGGAAAACTTTGGTGTGTGCACAAATCAAGTGACTGCTGTTAACGATTCATAATAAAAAGAAGAATGCTAGATGGGTCAAAGAAACTAGATTTTTTTTTTTCTTTTACCATTGAAGCAAAGTCCTTAAACATGCCAGGATTCATGAAAAGGAGGTTAATTAATGAGCTTGGACACATGTATTTTTAGAAAGGGCGTGGTGAGGGGTCAGACGGTCTGAGGAAGATCTATTTAAAATCTGGGCGCCAGCACTGAAGTCCGAGAAGTTTCTTTCAGAGTAGGTTCCAGGGTGAAGCCAATCAACACACATGTCTGAGGAAGGGAGACCCTCGAGTAGTGTCACATGTGATTACCACCACGTGTCTGGCAGGTATCAATGTTGCTTCCTCTCTCTGCAAGGAGGTGGGTGCACTGAGATTTGTGCGTTTTACAGGGGGTTTGAAGCCAGGAAGGATGTCACAAATGGGCATCTGGGAAGCCCAGGATGGCATCCAACGGGGGTTTAACGTTGTGGAGTTGAAATACCACATCCCAATCATAGAGAAAGTCAATCCAAAGTTAGAACAAAAAAATAAGGCACTGGTAAAGCTGATGTCCAAGGGAAAGTCAATCAGAGGGGAGTGAGGAAGTGAAGGGAAGGTTTGTGAAGATTTTGAAGACTTCCAGGTTCCTTCTGGTTTTTATCTTTCTCTCTGTTGGAGGGTGCTGGCTTTTTTCCATATCTAAGTGCCCTTCACAATGCACCACCTTGATTAATGGCTACCATTAATATTACCTTTATGCGGATCATACATGCTTTTGGTCAGATGGTACTTCCTTTTTAATCTTTCACTTCACAGAGGCAGAAAGGCAGAGAAAGAGGCAAAAAGAGGGAGAAGGAGGAGGCATGTCTTGAGGTAACCTGGACACGAATTCGAGGATAGAAATGAGATAGGTGGAGGTGTGGCGAGGTCTGGGGTGTGTGTGTGAGAGAGAAGGAATCAGGAAAGATGGGGGAAGTGGCAGGCCCAGGCCTCTGCGGGGGAAGAAAGGAGGTGCCCAGAGGAGTTGGGGGTATGGCAGATCGGGGTGCTATCTTTCAGGGGGTGGGAGAAGGGGGCGCCATGCAAATGCCCCTCCTTATCCACCACACAGAGGCTCTCAACTGCAATCGCCCAGGAGTGTTTACAAACCCAGAGCAGGGACCACACCCGTTCCCCAATTGGATCAGAACCTGGGGTGGGGGCATAGAGGCAAGGCATTTGCATTTTTTCATCTTCTCAAGGGTCAAAGTGCAGGCAAAGGCACAAGTCACTGACCCAGGATGACGGCAGTGAAGGCAGTAAAATTCATGCTGGGTCCCTGAATACCAAAAAAGGTCTACACCAGGGCAGTGATGAGAACTGGCTTCTTAAATGCAGTTGCCTGGCCTTCTCCAGAGATTCTGATTCCATGGTCTGGGGTGGGGACCAAGAATCTATATTTTTAGTGAAGCATCCAGGTGGTTCTTATCAGGTAACTTGTGAGTCTGCAGGCTGGTGGCCTCAGCACTGCCTGGGGGCTCTTTGGAAATGCGGACTCTCAGGCTTCAACCCCGACCTGCTGAGTTAGAATCTGCCTCTTCACCAGATCCCAGGTGATTCATGGGCATTTCTGAGTTTGAGACACGCTGCTGTGAGGTTTCTTCTAAATGGCCTGGTTTCTAAAACAGTTAGTAGCAATTTTGGCCACGTGTTTTCCCAGATACGTATACAGAGAAAAAGCATAAGACAGGAATTTGTCATCTGAAGTTGATCTTGCACACACTTACAAAGAGTCTGTCAGTTACAAACCAGGACCTGAAGCAATGACCTGGACTTGTGAAATCGACTGCCATATATAGACAAATATAGTACCATTTCCCGAAACTGCAGTAATCCTGCCTTTTCAGGTTGGTTTTGCTGAGAGTTTTAGAACTCAAGCTTTCATATTAAATCCTCCCACATTATTTACCCTGTTAATTAATTTCATTCCATAGTACCAAGCGAGGAATTGCCAAGATTTCTCCTTCTAAGCACATGCCTTCAATTTCGTCAGTTTCTAGGAATGAAGCAAATAACAGGGACCACCTTACCACCTTCTCTTCCTCCAGCTGCCTGACTCTGGATTTCAGCTTCTCCTCTTGCTCTAGCCTCTCCTCATTCAGCTTCTCCTTCTCTGCCAGATGCTCCTGCAGTTTTTCTTGCATCAAAGACTGCTGACTTTCCTGAGAGCTGTTGAACTTGATCTAAAATGAGAGAAAAGGAAACTGATGGTGATGGGGGACACGGCTAGCTAAGGAGTCACTTCTACATTTCTTTACCAGCTGTTTACCATTTGGGGCAAACGTTTATATAAAACTGTCTTTAAAACACAGATAAACTACACTCAGCCTGGTTATGGGTAGGGAAGCAGTAGAATGTAGTGGTTAAGAATTCAGACTCTAGATCTAGATAGAATCCCAGCTCTAGTTGTTTCTAAAGGCTGTCTCATTTAGAATATGAAGTTAATAATAAGATCTAGCTCTTAGAGTTGTAAGGACCAAGTAAGATGATGATGGGAAGCTTTTAGTACAGTGCATAGCACATAGTAGGTGCTCAGTAAATGGTAGCTTGAATTATTAGTTATTATTTGCTGGGTGTGAGAGAAAAAGCAGTGGGCTAGGAGTCAGGAGATCTTGATGATGTTTTTGCTAATGAGCTGTGTGACAATGAAATAGTGACCAACCTCTCTGAACTTTGATGTTCACATCCTTAAGATGAGAAGGGACTAGACCAGGGCTTGACAAACTACTGTCCACAGGCCAAATCTGGTCCACTACCTGTTTTTGTCAATAACGTTTTATTGGAACAGAGTCATGCTTATCACGCCCGTTGTTAACATACTGTCTGTGGCTGCTTTTGTTCTACTGCAGCAGAGTGGAGTCGGCATGAATATAGTTTGTGAAGCCTAAAATATTTACTATCTGGCCCTTTATGGAAAATGTTTGCCCATTTCTGGACCCAGATCTCTGCAGTTGATTGGCGGGCTGGTCCCATTCTTCACTCTCTCTGTAACTAGCAGTGCCCGCCCTGCCCCACTGACACTACACTCAGTCATGTGACTTGCTTTGGCCAATGGGATGTTAGCAGACGGAACACAAGCAGAAGACTGGAAAGCACTAGGTGATTGGGGCTGCTTTCCTGGTGGGCCTGCTTTCTCTTGGCCTCTGCAGTCTCCATGAAAACATGCCCAAGCTAGCTTGCTGGAGGATGAGTGGCACCTGGCACAGAGTGGAGTCACTCCAGCTGAGGCCAGCCAACACCCAGACAAGCAAGCCCGCCCCTCTGAGGTCGGCGGAGCCACCCAAGCTGACCATGGACATGTGAGCAGTAAACAGTAATTGCTGAATGCTGCTAAAGTTTTGTGGTTGTGCACTATACACTACAGCAATAGCTGTCAGAATTATACAAACCCCAAAGATCATTTGCCTCTAGAATATTTCTGTTATTTGGCAATTCTGCTGCCTGTACTGTGGGTAGTCGTACTTCTTCCACTGCATTTAATAAGTACAGTTTTCAAGATCTGATGGCATTTCGTTTTCCTGGCTTTTTTTTTTTTTTTTTTGAGTTAGAGTCTCACTCTGTTGCCCAGACTGGAGTGCAGTGGCCGCTCCCGGCCACCGCAGCCTCGACCTGCTGGGCTCTGGTGATCCTTCCGCCTCAGCCTTCCAAGTAACGCT